TAGGCAGTCGCCTCGCGGAGTGATACGTACTGTGCTTCAACATAATATTGCCATATTGTGTGTGTGTGTATAACCTCTTTTTAAGTTCTGTGGATATTATGCACGGTTATGCTGGGGATATGTCGGCCAGTATCCACTGGAAATGCCTTTTGGTTAAACTGTCAGCAAGGAATTTGCACTGTTACATTTTTATATAACTTTAATGCACATAAAAAACACCTGCTTGTTTAAGTGAAAATACATTGATGGGGTTTTTTGCACTAATAAAGTTGTGGTAAAGTATTTTGTCTCGTGTCAATTATATCGTCAGTTATATCGTTATCGCAAATTTTCAAATGTATATTGTGATAAATATTTTTGGTCATATCGCCCTGCTCTAGTTGTCGTCTTATTTATTTAGAGCAAAGACAGAAAGAAATGTTACATTTTTGTGTTCTGTATTATATGAAGTGTAACCAAATCCCTGGTTTGGCAACTTTCGTGACCTTTTATTTTCTCTCTTCTTCAGATTCCAACTCGCCTCAGGTGGTTAAGAAAACACCAGTGAACTCGTCAGAGGAGTGGAGCACAAAGAGAACATGTGACGACACCGTTTCCACCATCTCCTCTCTTCACTCGAGCCCCACGGTGTCACCTCAGGGCTCCCCGCGCAAAGGTTTGTATCCAAAACTGTTTCTTGCTTCTTTTTTTCTTTTTTTTTTACCCTGTTTGCTTTTTATCCACTTCAGGAGGGTTTGAGTAGATGTAGTGAAACACTCACCTGAAGGATAGAGCTGTAAAATACAAATGATAATCTTACTGATTTAAGATAATAGTGTGGTTTGATTAGACTTAACATGCATGAATAATAAAGTTTTAATTTGTGTTTTCTGGGTTTCATCTCTTCTATCGTTGCCTTTTTTTAAATAGTGGGAGGTGTGGCAAAGTCCCAGAACTCCAGCCAGATGAACTTGTCGGGATCTTCATCGTCGCTGACCAGCGAAGCTAGCTCAAAGGCCACCGTCAGTCTGCGCAGCTACGGCATAGGTGGGACCCTCCTCCAAAAGAGGATCCTATTGATGACCAGGCAGAGTAGCCAAGAGAGTTGGAGGCAGAGAGAAAAAGAGGAGAAGATGGAGGAAGAGACAGAGGCAGTTCAGAGAGGCTTGTTCCACTCATCAGAGCAAAGGAAAGGGAGATCCAGGCAGCAGAGCAGCCAGGGTGCACAGGCAGATGCAGGGAAGGAAGGAGGAGGAAGTCCATCCCCCAAAAGGAAAAGGATTGATGGAGATCATCCTGTGGTCCAAAGTGACTCTCCATACAGTTTTCCAACTCCATTTTCCCAGTCTCCTTTAATGAGCCCCACACCCCCAGAGTCCCCCATAAGGAGGAGGCTAATGTCACCGTTCAGGATACTGAGGAAAAGGAGTCAGTCCAGGGAGAGGCCAGCAGCAGTCAGCCCACACCTGAACAGTAGGGAGGAAACAGCAGAGCGTATGTCCTCCTCACCTCAGGATGAGACACGAGGGCAGACAGAGCAGAGAGCCAGGAGATCAGTCAGCCCTAACCCCTTCCTCTGGCTGTGCAGGGACAGAGACTCCAGGAGAAAGACCCTCTAACAGACATCACGTTGAGACAGTTATAGCAAAAACAGTAAAGAGAAGGGACACAGTGGTATTTGAGAGAGACTTTTTTTGTTGTTGATGATTTGCATTTATTAAGAGTCCATCATATTAAAAAAAAAAAGCATTTTCTTTTTAAAGTCAAAGTGTTGCTTGAGAGCTTCAGATCCACCGTGAGTCACAGAGATGTGACGCCTGAGAGTTTTCGCTGTGAATACTTGAAGAAGACGATGCGACACAGATAGGAAAAGAGTACATCTGAGGCTGTAACAGCAGATGGAAAAGCATTTCAGTGTGTTCTCGCAGCTCTCCCGACATTTTTTATTCACGGGTTAAAGCTATGAATTATTGTGTTAAAGCTGTTTGGATGTCACCGAGCAGCCGACGGTCACGTTAGTCGCTGTGAAACATTCTTCGTTCCCGAATTTGAATTTTAAAATGATTAAATTTATTCTTCGTTTTTGGTTGACAAGTTGTAGGCTCTGTTTTTGGTATATAGATTTCTTCTGTGGCGTGCGGCATTTTAATTGTAATGTTCAGTCAGTTTCCCGACAGTCAGTTTATTTGTTTTTTGTGATATAAAGTTTAAACTATGAACCCACCCCCTCCCACAAGTGTGTGTTTCACAGTCATTTCTACACAATTCATAGTCTCAGTCTACAAATAACACAAACAACAGCCTCACGCTTTCTGATAGTGTTTGTGATT